TTTCTGTAGGTTGTCAAAATGGAAAAAAACAACCCATACTGATGAAAAACTTCTATGTTATATTACTTTTGATGAAGTCATGGCAAGCCTTTCTTTAAAATATAAGCAAAGCTTGGCTCTTGGTAATCTTTTCTGCTTCCCACAACAAATTAATTAGAGAAGATGTTTGTCAAAGATAATAAAACTCATATTTAGTTTACCATTTCAGCTTACATATGCTAATAATTTAACCATGCACCGAGAGAAACAATAAAGCAAATTGGTCTTCAGTTGCTTCCAAAATAACACCTCTGGTTGCTAGTGCGCATGTTTGCTAAACTTGTTCTTTCTGAGATGCCAGAGGTACGCGCGTTCCTCGTCCCGACAGCGTGCAAATGAATTGAGTTACAGTCTCGGGATTGTTTCTGTTGGGATTCAGTGAAGTGGGAGCTGTAACGTTCGTATTCCCTCGCCCCTCAAAATATTTGTATGAGAAGTGTCTTGGGCAGTGTGGGCAGAGAGGAGGAGTATTTTGAATCTCGAGTAACAGGTATACAATATTTTAAAGTGCAAATATTGTATCTAACAAACCAGTTCAGATTAGTTCTCTCAAGGATAGATATAGAATTTCAAATCTGAATTTAACAATGAAATGCAGAAGTAGAAAAATGTGAAGAGAATAATTTTAATTCAAATAATTAAAATTTTTAAATTCAAAATCTTATTTGAGAGTCCAGCTATTTTTGACTCCTGCAGAGGCGCTCTAGCTAACAATATAAAGTAGAGCAATGGTAACATTTGAGATAATTCCTTCCCAGGGGCATTACAGAGAGTAAAGACAGTGGAGTCAGAAACGCAAACAGGGTTTATGATCGACTGAGTGAGAGGCGAGTTCAGCTCACCTGGCAAAATTCTTGGTTTCGCTGAAAACCAACTGAGGTTTATAATTCTCCTGAAAGAAAAACATCTCTTAAGCTTACGGTTATAATTAGCCGGAGCCAGTTGGGTAGCTCTTCCTCCAAGATCACCACTTCTAAATCGAAGTCACGGATGCCGTATTTAGACATTGCAGTCAAGAATCAAGGGGGACGCATTGCTGGGAACCCGATTTGAGCTATTTGCAGTTCTCAGTTTTATGGAAGCAGGAGTTCACCAAAGTGCAGCTGAGCTGTGCTAATTCTATTTCAGTTTAATGAACATAAAACATTTGCCATTGATAGGGAATTCTTATCCAGCATGCTCTTCGTCTCCCTGGGCATTTAAAAAAAATCAAAGATATGGAAGGCAAGCACAATCTTATTTGACACCAGGTTTAAAGAATTGCATACATGTATTTATTAATTATTTACACAATCATTTTTAAACAGAGTATCTTTTTTTATAAGGTCAACTTTCTTTTGTTATTTTAGTCCATTCAGAAGGTAAAAAAAGCTTGCTAAGATTGAGCTCTGTGATGGAAGTGGATGTTGCAGAAGAAGTTACGCTATTACCCCCTCATCTAGAAAGGGTAGTTGAGTTTTAAATGGTCTGCAAGATTATTACTTAATGCAATTGTGCAGTAAGCTTTTTTAGACATCTTGGGAGTTTTTTAGTATATCTAGCTTTGCATTATTTTTGAGAATATTTTTCTTTGTATACATTTCCATGTCTTTGTATAAAAACTGACTTCACCATATGCCATGACTTTCTAGCTTAAATATAAACTATGCAGTAGAATGTATGTGCTGTGTGTATATTTTGTATTTTTCTTTAAAGACACGGTGCCAACACCCTTCTGTATTTACAATTCCAGGAATAATCATCTAGTTTGTAAGAACATCTATTTAGTAGTGCATGAGACTTGTCAGCTAGCACCTATAAAAGTAAGCTGCTGTTTAAAGGGAATGTTTTTTGTGCTTTCTTGTTTAAAGATGTAAGCACAAGGGTTGCAGATAATGCTTAATTGACTATCTGTTCTTAAAATGCCCTTCTTGATTCCTCTTTGAGAGATTTTATGTTTATTCCCTATATGATGTATATCAAATCACTGCATGGGCGGCGGGAGGCGGGGGAGCAAGCTTTAGACAGAAAGAAGTAGGTTGAATTGCATGGTTTCGTACAAATGCTGAATAGCACAATTCTTGCTGGTCGTTGACTGACATGAATACAAACACGGGAGCAGTTTGTGGCTGGTGGCATTACCTCCCCGTTGGTGTTTCAGTTGGAAGCGATGGGATTTTTGGTTGACTTTTATTGTGGTTATATTTGGTTTGGGACACAACACCACAAGACACTCTTCCGCGCAAAAGTTTTTTCTTATCCCAGGTTTTTTAAGCCACCTCCTATAGAGCAGTTCACTCCTGCTTTGCCTGGTGCTTCTGGGTGGCAGCGCAAGGCTCCACGGTAGAGAAGGAGCAGGAGGGGACCAGCTGTAGGGTGGTTCAAAACACAGTCAGGACTCAAAAGTAGTCATCCAGATATTTTTACAGTTTTTTATTTCTCTGTATCTTTCAACAGCGTCAGAAGTTGCAAGAATAAAATGGACGCATGTGTTTTCAAAAGCATTTAAATGACTTATGAACACAAGTGCCATTGAGCTTCAGGAGGACTTTGAGCTGTTCAGGACTTGTTTACACAGGAAAGTTACACCTCCTATACCAGTATAGTTCCACTGATGGATCACTCCATCTGGAATAATTGGCTTTTTTGGGTTAGTTTAACTTCTCCAAAATACTGTAAACTAAACCACTGGCTCCTTAACTGTAGTCTATAGAATGCCATTAAACAGTAAAATTTATGAATGAGTCAGTTCTGTGTGGTTATGCAAGGTGACTCAAAGAAATTCCACCACTGGGTAGCGGTCTCTTGGTCCTAACTTTAAGAACCACTAAACTAAATAAAATAAAGACATCCTTATTCCAGATGAAGGTCACTTGGGGAGTTACAACTGTGTATGTTTTAAGTTCATGCCTTCGTTTTTATTAATGTAGCCCTCAACTCGCTAAGGAAATCCAATCAGAATTACTCTGCACCATTTACAGTGCAGAACTACACCTAAATCCTTTATGAAAACAGAAGAATAACACTAATATCTACATGATGTAGAATATTTTAGATCTTAAAGTGATTTTGAAAGATAAGCACGCTTACTCCATCTCTTAATTGTTAAATTGCAGTATTGACTACATGATTCTAAAGTTTTTAAGCAACAGCAACAAAAAAATTGATGCCATTATTCTGCATACAACTGACCATTTATGGGGCTTGAGGTTGTTTTTTTTTTAATGTTCAGAAACCAGATTTTCATGCTTATGGCAGCTCAGAGTTATAGGATGATCCTTAGCAAAAATTTGAATATCGTTCATTTTTCCCTAACAACAAAGTCTTTTAGGCTGTGAAATAATCTTCCCTGAAAAGGCCTAAAAACGAGCAAGTCTCATCACTGAGAGAAATTAAATGTCTTCCTCCATATCACTCTCAGTTGTAACCAGTGGTGATTTGGCTATTTATTTAATGATCCGTAGGCTTACTTGTGTGTCCTTTGGCTGAAACCTGGGGTCTTCTCCAGGACCTTCTCTATTCTACACCGAACTGCCGGTTACTCGTGTAGGAGTCTCTTGTAAGCAAGATGATTCTCCTTAAGCAGGTTGCGCAGATACTTAAATACCCCCTGAGGCTTCCCAGTTTTCACTTTCCAGAGTTACGTGCCACAGTCTTCCCCCGGGGCAGCTACATTTGGACTCATCTTCCCTGCAGCTCCTGCTTCTAATTCAATTCTCTGTGGGGTTGAAATCGCAGTTGTGATCTCTACTTTCCTCCTCTTCGTTTTCTACAATGATGGAGTACCTCTGGTTGCAAGTGAAGAGGAGGTAGCATTTCCATGATTACCAGACCTGGACCGCTGCTGGTGTGTATTTTTCGTGTGTGCATAGATGGTTTTGGCAGCATTCAGATGATTGAAAATGAAGACCTTACATTTCTGTGGCTGCAGTGTAGTCTTGGATATGCCACCACATTCTTATTATTAGCACTCTAAAAGCATTTAGAGACCACAGGCAAGATCAGTGTTTCACTATATAGACACCTGAACTTGTTTAACCTACAATTTTTGTTTATTGAAGTGTGTGCCAAAATTCACTGGGTTGAGAAGAGCTAAAATTTCACTCCCTACCTTGCGGAGTTTTAGTTTAAGTAACTGCAACAGATGAGTCATGGGAGAGGTGAATTACCGTCCTCATTCTACAGAAGTATTAAGCAACCGTCCACAGCTCAGGAGGCAGCTGGTGGCACGCCCAGAGGTTGGACCAAGCCCAGCATCTTTACCATGGGGACGCTGGTCTTCTGTAACAGTTCTATGCTAAAACCAGAGAACTAACAAAAATCCAAACCCCCTCCATAACTTTTAACAGGACACATGCAGAGGCTTCATATATTTAGGTATTAAGTTTTGGATGCTAAAAGCTTTGTGAGCTGTTTTTTAATAACTGAGAATGATACCGCTTAGAAAATTTAGCAGATAAGTCCTGTTCTCTACAAAATAATCTAATATTCTGATTCCCAAAAGAATGCCTTAAAACGCACCCTTATATTTGTTATGGATACGTTAGTTACAGGATTTTCTTTTTTTTTAAGAAGTTTTAGCTGTTTGTCGGTTGCTATTATGTTTGGAGAACAGGAGGAGGGCAGGACAAGACAGTAGAGGTGCAGAGTAGCTACAGGCATGTTAGCTCCCTGCGATATGCTCGTACAGCGGTTCTGAGGTATGGAAACTGGTCCTGCCGAGACTGGAAGACTGCGTTACCACAACCGCCGCTTCATGCTTCTCTTGTCCCCTCTTCCTGCCCTTGTTTCCCGGGTGAGAGGTGCTCATCTCCAGCCTTCACCTTTCTCAGCCTTGCCAGATCTTCAGTCTTTTGTTCATCTAATCTTAATGCCCTGTGTTGGTCTCTTGGTCTCTACGGAGAGGCCTTATTTCCACGGGAGTGGAGGAATATGGCTTCCTACCTGGCAGATTGTTAACCTTCGCCCTCCTGCATCCTTACCTGGGTGTCATCTTCTGTTTGGGCCGCTTGGCGGTGAACAAGTCCGCCCTGCAGGTGAACAAGTCAGCCTGGGAATTCCCTAACCCTTCGTGGTCTTCATCGTGGCTCTCACATGCTGCCATCTCGTCCATCAGTGGCTGCCCGTTGAAGATGAAGACCATGGAGTATTCTGTTACGGGCTCACTACTCCATGTTTTGGTATGGTCATTTGCTTGATTGTGATCTGCAGCTGGGCACATCCATGGAATTATATATTGAGAAATGAGAACGTACTTATTCTGAATGTGGTCATAACCCGAGCCGAATTCAATCACGGGTGACAACCGGCACCTTCTCCACCTTCTCCACCTTCTGTCTGTCCAGTACAAAAGCTGTATGGACAATACAGCCTCACAGCCAAAAACTCGGAAGGATGTTAGGTATCAGAAAGGCCGGAGAAGCAGATTTTAGATTAATAAAATGTGATATCCAGAAAAGCCAAAATGGCAAGAGAATCCTTTAAACTGTTTAAAGAAGAGGTACAGAATGAAACGTGAGGCAGGGTAAACACCACTGTGCTTTATGTGGGAGATATGGAACTGATACCGTCCGGTTACCTAAGAAATAATTCTGGCTGTTGTTTTTATAATTCTGTTTTTGATGTCAGTTCAAGAGGATGTTGAGTGTTACTGTGGGAGCTGCAGGGGATTAGAAACCCTCAAATCAAACCGCTCATGGATGCCTAACTTTGCCTGGGTTTATAAGAAGAAATAATACTTTTTATGGGATCAGCTGGTAGAGCTGAAAAAAATTGGCATGCTATTGAGATCAGAGTTTGGCAATCAGTTTTGAAAATTGTATTTTTAAATCCAGTAGAGTGTTGTCACGGTTCTAATACTCTCGTTACTTAAGCTTTACCACCTGAAGGCTGAGCACAAGAGCTGCTTAACACAGTCCTGTGAGTCTCCACACCTTTGATTTTACCCGAAAATGCTCGGATATTCCAACCAAAATATGAACCATCATGTTTGTTGCTGTTACTATTACTTACAGGAGGGATATGATTAAAAATACATATGTGCAAAAATGGTCAAATACATTGTAGGCAAGTCCAGCCATGTAAGAGAGTGTTTTGATAAAAGTAACTTTATACTTTGGGCGTAGAGGAGTTACGAATATCTGTAAGTTCAGATGCCGATAGGACTAGTTTGGCTGCTTTTGATGATTCACAAAATCAGAATGCCAGAAAGGGAATAACTGGGAGGAGTCAGCGAGGCTTCTGGTTTGCCTCTTTGTCCAGGTATCAATTTTAATTCCTCGTTTATATTTGGCACTATCAAAAAATCTGGATTTCATTTCCCTGTCTTAACTGGCAGTTATCCCTTTGCTCTGAGGCAATACTTTTTATTTGTAATTTTTTACCATAAATGTATGTCGACATTTTGTATTTAAACTCACTTTGTGCACTGATGCTCAACATTCACTTTTACTAGTTTTGTGATCGGGATAGAGTAGTTTAAAATAGAAGTTATAAATACATTCAGACATTGGACTGTGATTCCAGAATGATCATCTTATGCACACGTGAAGCATTTTCAGTGACTTGATGGTCTTCGATACCTCCTGTGAGAAGCAGCACTCGACATACCTCTTTCAAAGCTTTGGGTCACACCAGCGAATCCAGCAGATCTCTGCCCGCGGGTCCCCCCCACGTTTCAATCCGAGGCATGCCACCCAGCCTTTGGGGGATGCGGTTCCCGCAGTGCCAGCAGCATCCCAGGGCTGACGGGCAAATACCTCAGCCTGGGGTCCTGCTGCTGGTGTGGGAGCTATGGGATACGCAGGCTGCTCCGTGGCACGTGTCCTGTGAAAACCACCGAGAGCACGAGCCAAGGAAGACCCCGTGTCCCACCCCACCCTCTGACCCCTCTCCACCGCACGTGCAGAGGCCCTTTGCTCCCTCCAGGTCTTTTGTTTTGGGCTGCTCCAGTTCTCCTTTCAAATTACACCTGCTTTCAGAGCTGCTCTTTGGTCCCTGAATGTGCAGGACCGATGCAATATACTCTTTCCGTGTATGATGGCAGTTACATGTATTTCATCCCATTACTATGCACTGATTCCCGCTGTCATCCCAGGTCTTCCCAGCAGCTGACCACATTAACCTTTTAGAAGAATGGGTTGTCTCTGAACATGCAGGAAAAACCAGTTGCCTTGGACAGCTAAAGTATTGCTGTGGCTTTCATGTTCTCTGAGGAATTCTCTCAAATCCCTCCGGTAGCTGCTTTCATGGAATCCCTGATAACAAACCACCAACAAACCAACCGACCCCCTTGGCTCACTCCCGTCAGAAGCAGCCCTTGGCTCTGCCAGTCCGCCGTGGGCTGCTAAGCTGTATTCTGTATTTACCTTGAGGATTTTATTTATCATTGATCACTATTCACAGTGATGTCTCCAATGTGCAGTCAGCTGCTTTGCTGCAGAAAATTAATAATACTTGAGTCCTAATTATTATAGGTATTCCCCTGGAAGCTGCGGCAGCAGGGCTCTGCCCCATGACCTGAGTGTGTGTGATACGGACTCTCCAGCCCTTACAAAGATCAAGTTTAAAATGCCTGCCCAGGAAAACTGAGTCAGAGATGGCAAAATTGTCTGAAAGAGCAGCTCAGCTCATTTTCTATAAAATTTGATCTGTCACGTGCAAATGTACATCTTGGGGCTGCTGCGCTGCCCTCGCAGCCTGCCCCTCGGCAGGGACGCCAGCTCCTGGGGAGCTGCACCCGTTATTCTGATTTTATTGTGGAAGTCAGCTCATGTGGGAAGAGGGTGGGTTGTCGGAGGAACGGGAAGGTCAGTTTGTGGGAACAGAGGCAAACACTAGATTTTTACACCCACCTCTATCTTTGAGTTTTGCCTTTCTCCAGAACTGCTTTAAGAGCTAATGAGAACCCAGCGATGCAAAACAGCTCCGTGTCCGACACCCTTTCGCACTGCCCTTGTGAGGATGGACCCACGTTGCAGCGGGTCCTTTTTTGTTTCCATCTTGTAATCCCTGTTATCCACCATGTTGGGTTTTGGGTTTTTTTTTAGCTCTGCTCAACATCTGATGTAAATGAGAAGCAGCGCTACTGGAAAATGTTTGGGAAAGGGTTTGGTCCCACAAGGCCTGCCACTGGCCACAGCCTGACCTTCTCCAGGATGTTTCACGCATTTCCTAGTTTCTGACCGTTTGCCATGGAGGAAAAAATAATTTTTATTTTTCTAAACCAGATTTTATTTTTGAAAACAGTTCAAATAATAAATAACAACCTATTAACCCAGCATGCTTCAGTGCTCAGAATCTTAATATAAAGACTACAGAGAGCACAAACATAACATTAAAAAAAGCGTGCACAGTTATTCCTCCTGCCCAGCGCCTCTCCCCCATAGTGCACGCAAGCTGTCTCTTTAATAATGCAAAGGAGCAGTAAATTTCAAGCTGAGGATGGGCAATAACAAGGAGAGTTATTTCCACAATGCCCCAGTGTCAGCCCCTGGCTTAGGAGCACACCTTATTAGTTCTAACAGGCTGGTTAGCATCGGGTCACCTCTGCGGCTCCGCTCCCCAGCAGGGTCACCCGTCTCCAGGCTATATTTGGGGAGAGGGGGAAGGGAGACGATATTCAGAGATTCTCTTATCGCCCGGCATTTTTAGCACTGTTTATTTTTATTTACACTCCCCCCCCCCCCCTTTTTTCAAAATTCTTTTTTTTTTTTTTCCCCCCCCCCCCCTTCCCCTTTATGCCTTACCTTTCTCTTGCCCTCTCTCCCACCCAGTTTATCTTTGCAACCTGCATAAATCCTGTGCGGTGGGCAAACCCCTCCCCTGCGAGAGCAAATTAAAGCAGAAACCATGTTACTGGGGGGGTTCATCTGTATTTCTTTTCAGAAGAGAAATAATTCAAATTAATCAGGCTGTGTTTGTGTATGGACAAATAACAAAGTGCATTAGAAATATTTAATGAAAGCAAGCCCAACATGGTTGCACTCCCAATTAAGCATGACCGTAGCATGACTGTCCGAAAGCAGCGCCTGTGTGCGTGTGCGAGCTGTGTATGTGCGCAGGGCAACGCTAAAACCCTACCTCTGCTTTTAGGGGCCACGGAAATCGTATTTAGGATCATCCCTTTAAAGCAAGCTAACCGAAGTGTCTTTTAAAATGAATGTTCGTTTTTTCTTCACTGAAATGTATGAAAAGCTGCACATTATGGAAATGTACATGTGGGGTTTTTATATGTTCCTATCGCCATCAGCCCCCTCCCCCACCCGCCAGTTCCCATCCAAAAATGAATGCAAAGAAATACTATTAGGCTGTCTGGTTATGTATTTTTTATGAGGCCATACAAGACACTGCCTGACCTCGTGCAGCTCATGTTATAACCACATTGAAGATGCTTTTCATTTGGGTTCTGCTTTTCAGCCTGGATGACCTCTATTAAATAAAAAAAAAAGAAAAAAATGGCCTAATATGTGACCCCTGGGACTAGTCGCTTCAAGGATTACATTTAATTCATATGATAATATTGAAATATAATGTTTCTGTGTCTAATGTTTTGGATGTTTTTTCTTTCTTCTTTATTTCAGGGACCCTTTGAGTCTTGTCAAAGATTTTTTTTTCTCTTTTTTCAAAATCTGTTTTGGGGGGAGGACAAGTAACTCATGCTCGGTGGTCAGATTCTTAAAAATCACCTTTCTCCCTTTGGGAAGCAGGCGTGAACACAAAAGAGCGCTCTTCCCACCGTCTTTGAAGGAGAAGAAGAGAAACAAAGGCAGAGAAATTATTTTTTATAAGAAAGCGTGTCTGCCAAGAGCTCGTCAAAATAAAGAACCACTCTTTGTTTTGGCGTTTGCTTAACCAGTTGATAAGGAGTGACCTGCTTTCCCCCGCTCCCCGCGCAACCTGGCTGGGGGGGCGCGGGCAGACCCCCCTTTAGCTCCTTCCTCGCCTCCAGCTCCCATTGTCTGCCTCGCCACCGCCGCAGCCCCTCCGCTACCAAATACACACGTGTTTACTGTACAAACCCACTTGCAAACACCGCTTCTGTGCTTGCTTGTGTCGCCCCGGCATCAGAGCAGCGCAGCCCGTGCTGCTCTCCCCTGTGATAGAGCATCCCAGCGTTCCTGATAGACAACACATATTTCAGGG